TGGGCCAATTATGATGTACTAAATATATTAGCAAAAATGCTTGAAAAAATTGAGAGGATCTGTGTGGGTCTTTGGGTGGGTTTGTTTGTTTTAGAAAGTGAAATAGAGGCACTGTGTTACTGTCCTATCAGTGTGAGTGAGCGGGGGAACCACCATGGCTTACCCATGCAAGGACGCAGGAGAGCCACATTAATGCCAATTAATTCATTATGAGTTCTAACTCTGGGACGACGGCGCATCGTTCTGCGGGTGTTCTGTAGCAAGTGTTAATGAAAACTGCTGCGTTAAGAACATGCTTCAGCACTTCAGCCCATGTGCCCGTGTGCTGGAACTGTGGCTTCAGCTTCCCTCCCAGATGAAGAACTTTAATTATGTTTTGATGTTTAAAGCACACCAACTAGTCTCTCCTCAACCCAGGAAAGCCTACAGCTATCAGCACCAAGCTCAACCCTGCCTTTCTTTGCCAGGGATTCTAGCTCCAGGAGAAAAACAATGAAGGGAGCATCCCCCGGTAGAGGCTCGGAGAAAACTTTCTTGAAGCGATTCTCCCTCCCCCTCCCCCTTGCTTCCTTTTAGAGGATTTTGGTCTCAGGCAATGTTGCCAGTCAATACTTCTTTCCCCAAATGTGAGTAGGTGGGTGTGTATGAAAGCTGTAAAAGTTAATGACCCACGTCTGACTCATAGCTCAGGGTTTCAGGTTGAGGAAAAGTGGGGAAGGAAAAGAAAGAAAGAAATTAATGAGGGTAAATAGACATGCGCTGGAACCATCAATGGGACAGTGGGAGAGCCCGTTCTAAGGTCTGAGGGCGTGCGTTCTGTGGCTTGTGTTTTCCTGTGGTGGAATACCAGGAAGTGAGGAGGCACTGCCTTTGTTAGACGGTGGTTTTAGGGTGTTGCAAAGATTCTCTGTCTGGATCTCCGCAGGGATTGTAAACCCAGGAATCTACTAGCCATGCCCGGCTGCACCTCCCGCTGGAGTCTGAGACTTCTCCGGCACTTTCTAAGCAGGCAGTATCAGAATGTTAGGATGGGTGGAAGTCACCCCAAATCCTGGGCAAGAGGCTATTTTCCATTGAGTGAAAAGCCCCAGTTATTGTGGTGGGGTGGGGTGTGTTTGTGGGACATACGAGTAGTCTTTTTTTTTTTCTGCCTCGGTCTCCCCAGAAGGATGAGGACCTAAGACAAGGTTTCAGATAAACTATTAAAAAACATTTAAAAACTGGTGATGTGGAAATAACAGTTCACTTGAGAAAAAGGCAGAAGGAATGAATGAGTGAGTGCATGTGTGTGTGTGCGCGCACACACGTGTGCTCACGTGTGTGTGCATGCAAGCGCGCGTGTGCACCCTTGCATACAGATAGATATGAGACAGCCAGGTGATTCATAAAACTGAAAAGTAAGTCTGTGCCCCGCCTCATCCCTTAAGTCACGTGGATGGTGCAGTAGTCCTCTTCTCCCCATTGGAGGACTGCTGTTTTGTTTGTGGCTTAGAGCATGAGATTCCTGTGGTTGGCAAAGGCTGGTTCCTCTTCTATCCCCGGGTATCTCTGATCTCAAGTATCTGCAGTATCAAATTTAGAGTCAGTAGTAATGATTAGAAATAAAGCCAGAGGAATCAAGATAGGGTAATAAGGGAAGCAGTCAGAGAGTGTTGCAAGCATTTGCCTAAACTGTCAACTCTTCCTGACTCTTCTGGACAAGAGAGGGCCTGGCTGCCTGGATGCTCTAATAGGGAGGGGTGTCTGACTGTTGTGACTTAGAAAGGGAAGGTGTTATTTTTGTGGGGCTTCCTAGGAGGGAAGAAAGGAACCAAGTCTGCCAGCCCTGGACTGTCCAAGGGGTGAGGCTCTTGTCCTGAGCACCAGACACACCCACATAAGAAAGCCACAGAGATGGGCTGGAGAAGAGACTCGGAGCCTTCCAGGTGACCCGTGCAAAACGGCTTAAACATTTTAAATCTCAGATGAGGCATAAGCCATCTTGCCCTGGACCTCTGTCTTCATGTACCCTCAAAACACAGAGGCCTAAACATGCTTTGTTTTCTCCTTTCTTACTGTGGGGGTGGAAGGCAGAGGTAGGAAAACAGGAGCTGGTTCGCTTTGGAATGCAAAGTTCTTATGGAGCATCTGCATTATATCTTTAAGAAGCTGGGCTATAAACAAACAAGGCTGCTTCATGATTTATAGGGAAACAAAAAAAAAACAAAAAAACAAAAAACGCTGGTACAGCCTGTGTTTCAGAAGAGCATTTTTGGGAAAAGCGAGGGTAGAAACCGCAAGGAGAAACAAAAACATTTGGTATTCTTTGCTCTGACTGGAGGTAGCCTAGGTCCCGAATTCTCTAGAGCACAGTGGTTGGTGGCCGGGAGAAGTCTTCTATACTGAGGGAGCCTTTTGCACTGGCTGGGCTGGCAGTGGGTAAGACGATTTCTGCACCGCTGGATATACCCTAAGGAAGTTACATTGTTTGGAGGTGTCAAAACGGTGTGGGGGCGAATGTGTGCCCACACGGGCTTCCTGTGCAGGCACGCTGAACTGGAGGTAAATTGGTTCTCGATGCAGACTTCTCTGCTAGTGTCTTTAGAAGCTTTCGCCTATGTCTGTGTGTGTGTGTGTATTTTTACTCTTTTAATTGCTGCATTCACTCCAGGCTCACTGGTGCTTTATGGGAAGGTGATGAATGCAAGGATTAAGAATGGAACTGGACAAGTGAAAATTGCGTTTGGCAGAGTCACCGTTTCATTAATTTATTCATAAGACGATGACTACATGAAATTATTTTCCACGGCATATCCGAAGTTATCAGGTGTCCGTTCAGTTTTAATTGACAATCTAAGATTCCTGTGGTTATCCTGAGTGCAGATTGCCTGGGGCTCCGCAGGGTTTGTGGGAACAGAAGTTTGGACAAGTTTCCATTAGCTCTGAATTGGGCAATTGGAAAAGAGCAGAATAAAACCCTTGAAAGGAAGGACCAAATTGTTACTGTTGCCTGCGCTGCTGAGGAGAGAGGACTCTCCTTTCAGACAAGAGCTGTTCCCTCGCAAGGAATTCCAAACTCGCAAAGAGACCTGTCCCCCACACAAAAGTTGTTTTAACATGGTGGAAAATTGTCCCAGTAATGAGTGAGATCCTGGCTTCCCTGACTGGGGTGGGTGGTTGGGGGACAAAGGGCACAGACAGACGCACCTTTCTTTTTGAGCCAATTGCTTTGGATGGCCTCCTTGAATGTGGTGGGGAGGGCTGTGTGCACAGAGGTTTAGTTTACTCGGTCCATAGTAACTTGTATGAGGGGAGTGATTTATTGCTCGGCTTTGGCATGTAAAGAGATTATTGTTATTTTTGCCCAACTTAGTTTGTCTTCTTTTAATTTGATTACTGTGTTTTGTCACAAAAAAGCATAATTTTTAGGTTTTTATTTGTTTTTGTTTGCTTGTTTGTTTGTTTCGAGACAGGGTTTCCCTGTAGCCTTGAGCCTGGCCTGGAACTTGCTCTTGTAGACCAGGCTGGCTTCGAGCTCAGAAATCTGCCTGCCTCTGCCTCCCAAGTGCTGGGATTAACGGTGTGCATCACTGTCCTGCAGTTTGTAGGTTTTTTTTTTTTTTTTTTTTTTTGGCTGGGGGGGGAGGTGACTGTTGAGATCCTCTTCAAGTCCTCTGTATCCTAAAAATGGATACTTATTATATCACATTTTGAGTAATGTGGGTTTGAACAGTATTATTACAGTGTTGTTACATTTTAGTTCAGAATTTGCGGGAATCTTTTTCCTTTTTAAAAGAGAGCTAACAGACCCTATTGAATGACTTTCTTTCCAAGGAACAAGGTAACAAATTAATTGAGTTTAAAACTCTGCTGCAGCCCCAATGGTACTTGAAGCACAGAAGGGTTCTGATAACTTAGTTCTGAAGCAGTCATGGTTATAATTTCTGGGGATAAAGATGATAGTGTGGATGTCGATCCAAGTGTTTGGAGAAGGTACCCCAGACTTGCCTGCTGCAGGAGTGGGTAGGCAGGGAATCTCTCTTGGTCATCTGAAGCTTCCTCATCTGTCTGAGTATGGTAATGCATTTCAGATACCTGTCGAGACCCCCTCTGTGATTATTGGGTCAATTATAAAATGTCTCAACCCTGGTGCCTGTTTATCCCAGTGGGTAGCATCCTAAGGGTAACATGCATCATTTGGAAGGAGGAGGATTTGGGGAAGAGTCTTGGTGTTTTTGTAGGGATTTTCACATCTACAGTCGGGGGATGTGTGTGGCTGTAGAAGGAAATCCTGGGTTGAGAGCCGTGGTCCTAGGACTAAGGCAGCGATTCACTGAGAGGTGGTCCTTCCCGACCTGGGGCTCTTGGGTAATGCTTGGCTCCCTTTTGGGGAGGTGTAGATCACTAGAGTGCGGGTTGTGGAGATGCCTTAGAATCTAACGGCTTAGTCATGGTGAAAGAATGCATAAGGTGCTGGGTGGCCCCTGAATTCCGTAGAGACATTTGTTTTCCCAGAAATAGATTTCTGTCTGAGAGCCAGGGTTCAGTTGTTAGAGATACAGGGGGTGGGGCTTGCACTTGCAGACCAGTGACTGCTCACAGCACTCTCCTTCTGCCTGCACTCTTGCCTGTGTGTCGCCAACTTTTGCAGCACCCCGTTAAGTTTTCCTTAGCCTTCTGCTCGGCACCCACCGACTTCCTCTGTGTCTTTATGGGCTTCAGTCTGCTTTCTGTGTCATTGGTTCTCACTCCTGCCCCTCCTCCTCCCCCTCTTGATTTTTGAATGGGTGCTTAAAACAAAACAAAAGCAACAAAAACCAAAACTAAAAACAAAAGCAACAGTTCAGATGAGTGTGATCCTCTCCTCCATAATGATGTGAGTCCCTCAGGTCCCGACTGAACGGCAGGGCGGCCGTTCGGTCCAGGGAGGTTTGTCTGCTATTCATGAACTGCTTAAGATGTTTCCTTGTAGTCTGTGATGTGAGCAGAACGCTTTGGTTTGGTTTCTTCCTACAGCTCCATTTTCAATCCGGCAGCACTCATTACTCTGCGTACAAAACGATTGAGCACCAGATTGCAGTTCAGGTAGGAGGCGCAAGAGATTCTGAAGCTTGAATTACCAATGTGTAGGTCTCTTGTGTCTTTTTATTCTCTGCCTCCCCCACCCAGATGATGATGATGGTGATGATGATGGTGATGTTGGTGATAATGATGATGTCATTATGATGATGGTGGTGGTGGTTGGAATCATTGAGGGAGGTGGGAAGAACAGAAGAAATGTTGCTAAATGATCGAAAGATATGAAAAGAGTGATCAGTCTATGTTGTCTAAGACTGCCTGGATCAAGCCTTGTGGGTGCTCAGACCCCACGTCGGTTCTGGTTACTGCATGCATTTTATAGAAGGAAGGGCTTTGCGTTGGGAGTCAAACAGGTTGGCGAATTGAGAGAGGCAGCTGGTGAGGAGGCCATGTGACAGCCAGGGAGAGTTGTTGCCTGTGGGTCAAAATCATGGCAAATGGTGCCAAGAGCACCACTTTCGGCCTGATCATCCTGAAATGTTGATTTCTTTGGGGCCTCTTGATATACGGCATGAGAAATATTGGAAGGCAAAAGCAACAGATCCCAGCCCCCGATGAGTGTCCTGTTTCCTGCTCACGTAGTACTTCCATTTTCTAAATCCAAAGGCTAAACAAACCCCAGACTAATATAGACATGGGGCTGAACAGCAGCCAGCAAACAGCCGCGGTGGAGTCAGGCAAACGAACTCGCTTTTGTCTGGTGGCCTGGCCTTGCTATGAGGGATGTCTCATGGTGTCCCTCACCGTACCTCCACACCTTGAGTGTTCTGCGTTAATCCTCAGCAAGGAGGCTTTTGCGAACTTTGTCTGGAGAGCGGAAGTCTGGCTTAGGGTCTCCTAGGTTGCTGTTGACTTGGTATGTCCCCTTTCTGCTGTCTCTTTGGGACGAAGCCTTTACAGGGTGGTGTGAGTGTGTTTGTGCTTGTGGACATGTGTGCCTATGTCCAGATAAGTATGAACATGTGTGCAGGTATACATGTTTGAGTGTACCGTGTATGTACATAGGTGTGTGAGGGTACATATAAATACACTTACGTACATGTATGTGTGTGTGTACTTGTGTGGCCTGATGGAACTCCTATTTCCCATCCATCCTCCTGCGTCTTCTTAACTTTTGCCATTTCAAATCTGCTTCAGCCTCCATATTACTCTGAAATAGCCTTTTGCCCCAGGTTAATGGAACTTCCTTCCAGTGAGAGACATGAGTGAGCAGGTCTTTCAAAAATGTGGTTGGTTCCTAGTCTTTTTGCATTTATTTCAAGGCTACAGCAGCTGTGCCTAGAAATACTGAGGCGACTGTGCTTGGGTAAGGTACTGATTGTCTGCGTGTTCTTCAGGGGACAAGTGTGTCTCTCGCCTGTAATCCCTCCACACCCAGATATTTTCAAAAGTGCTGTGTGTGATGAGCAGGAAGCTCCGATTCTTTCTGGCACACTTCCTGTTGGAAGTTGCTTCCTTTTAAGGCCCAGTAAGTCTTGCTTTTGGGAAACAGTTTAGACTCAGGGCTTGCTTAGAGAGCTAGTCTAAACTCCAGCTCTGGGTGAATGGGTGGATAAACAGAGTGTCCCCAGGCCTAGGGAGGCCGACTCCAGCACAGGGGGGCTGGAAATTCTTGTTGCCCGGGGTGTGGGAATTGTTGAGGCTGAAAAGGACAGTGATCTTTATCTTGGTGTGGAAAGGCTGGCTGGGGCCATGTCACTGGGAGACCAGCCCGAGACCAGCCCAGCTGTTGGCTCTTTACACCCGGCGCTGAAGTGTCCCTTGTTTGAAGGCGCAGTTCGTCTTTCTGCAAACCACCTGGCACGATGCGGGCCATGTGAAGCCCTTTCTCAGGAGGAAGATGGAGTGAATTACAGAGCTTATTGTTTGAAGGACTGAAACCATCCCTGTTCCTCCATGAACAGGTAGTATTGTTCTCTTCTGCTTCTATTTGCTAAGGCCTGATGCCCATGTGGGCAAACAGAGGGACATTTTACTGGAGCCCTAGCAGTATGCTTTCAAAAGTGTCCATTCTCCCTCAGTGTCTGCTCGACCAGCACAAGGCCAAGCCAAATGGCAGCTAGCTGTAGTTTTAGTGTGATCATCAAAGGATAAATGGTCAAAAACAAAACAAAAGAAGCAGAGGGAAAAAAAGGCAAAGCTCAGACAGAATAAGATTGTTCTCTGAATTCTCTGGGTGTTTCAGCAGCAGTCTGGGTTGGGGGGCCAGAGACAGCAGCCCAGGGGTGGGGAAGACAGAAGCCTGGGAGGGGGACCACACCCTATGTGTGTGGGGGACAGCAGCTTGGGGTGGGGAGGCAGCAGCCTGGCTGGGAGGGGGGCAACAACAGCCTGGGGTGGGGCGACCCCCTCCTGGCACACAGAAAAACCCACCTGGCCTTCTCTCATCCCAAGCTTAAATCCAGCGTGATGCTGGGGCAGCCGTTCCTTCCTTGGAAACTTAAACCTGGCTGAACCTTAACAAATACTGTATTTCAGGAGGAGCTCAGCTTGCTGCTCTTCGCCAAGCTCCATCCTAAAATAACCTGGTACTGTGACACCGGGCATCACATGAGGTTCATTCCTCCCGCCCGCCCTCCCCACCCCTTCTGTCCTCTCAGCACTCAGCCAAGCTCACCGTGGGCGTGAATGGCCTCCCGGTGATTCGGTGATTCCATGGACCAGTGTCAGTCACTGTGCTGGGCGCTTCCCACCTTTGGTTCCATTCTAGCCCTCCTTGGTTCTGAAATGACAAGGGTAGTGAGAACGACCGAGAGCACAGTGTAACTGGACTAAAAATTCAAGGGGCACAAATATATGTACTGCAGGGTTGTTATTAGCAGTGATAATAAATGGTTACTGAATTCTTTTGTGTGTGCGCGTGCGCTGGTGATAGAACACAGGTCCTCCTGGATGTTGAGTGTGAGCTTGTTCCCTGAGCAACATCCAGACCATTGGCTTTTTAAATGTGCCACTGGACCACACTGCACAGCCCACGAGTGTTTAGTAAGGAGGAGCATGGGCTTACAAATGTGAGAACACCCAAGAGGCCCCACCCATGTCAGTGCACGCATGGGGGCTTGTGCGTAGTTTAAGCTTTTGAGGCTATGTAGTCAGTCTGGCTAACTTAATGTTACTTTGGTTTGAAAGCATCTTGAGAGAGATATGAGGTAAAAGTATGGCTGTGGTCTAATAAAGTTTTATTTATAAATACAAACACTGGCTGGAATTGGACCTAGGACTGAAGCTTGCTACCCTCTGATGAAATACTCTTAAGTCTGCCTTGTTCTTCCCCCTTCCCAGTGTTGTGGCTTCCTCGCTCTCCAAACTGCGGCTACAATTCCAACAGTAGATTCCTTTAACTTGTTGTTTTTTAATGGAATTGTATAGTAACTATTGTTCTGTGTTGTTGGATGCTTGGTTGCTTCCAGGTTTACGCTATACCAAATTCGGGACTAGTAGCTTTGGATATCTTTTGGAGGAAAGTCGGTGTCTGTGCCTGATGTCCTATGCTAGCAAATGCACCTAGGGATGGCGTTGGGGTGTGCATGTGTAGCTTTGCATTGATCTTTTATAGCTAGAAGCCTCCCCGGGGACTGTTGAGTGTCATCTTTGAGATGTATGGTCATTGGTTGTGGGGAGCATGAGTGGCATCTTTGAGGGGAGCGGTGACATAGTGATCTTCATCAGGTCAGAGGTTACTTGTGAATGCTCTTCTGGGTCACCCCATCATGCGGGAGTTCGGCCTCTGGTCCCGCTACTTAGGACCAAACTCCTTCACCATCTCTGGTAAATGGTGTCGGGGATTCATGCTGACTCAGGAGGGTGAACCCTGATTACAAATGAACAGACCAGAGCTGCCTCCCGGGGATGGCCTGCAGGTGGTTGTACACAGCTGGGCATCTCTGCAGCCTCTTCCTCAAGGGACCCAGTCCAACATTCCTACTCCCATCATGATGGCAGCCTCCAAGAGAAGTTCTGTAACCAAGGCGGAGGGAGACAGACCTACACGAGGTCTTTCCCTGGACTCTCTGAAGGGCTACTTGAAAACCTTTTAAGCTTTGTTTTTAAGAGTGTTTTGGCCAAAGGTTGATGTTTTAACACGAAGTCAGATGTGATTCAGGGGAAAAAGCACGGCACCCAACAAAAACAAACGATGTCGACCTTTCGTGGTTGTTTCTCTTTGGGGATGCGAAGGGGTTTCTGTGTGTACCTACGCACTCACACACATGTGCGTGCTCGTGTGTGTGGCCAAAGACAGCTAGGAGAGGATCCAGGAGAAATGGGCCTTTTTATTTGTTTGCACAGCTGAGCAGTGGAGACTTTGCCATGATTTTTGCTTTCCCTCTTGTTAACCTTGCAAGATCTTGTGTGAGCTTTCCAAGGCCCACAGTTCTACACCTCCTCAACAGGGATGCACTGGGGCGCCCAGGACCTCCTTCCAGAGCTTGGGGTGCTGTCTGGAGTCAAAGCAGGAATGAAAAGCTTGTCCACCCCAAGGGTGTCTTGTCCCAGAGACACGTGAGCTACTGTGATGAAGAAGGCTAGAGATTAGTATTAGAAGATCTGTTCAGAATTTATGAGGTGGCAATGAGTGTGTGTGAGGGTTCCTGGTTCTCCCCTAATTTGGGGTTCAGATGTTGGTCTCCATTGTGTTTTTTTTTTGTTTGTTTTGTGTGGTTCCCCCCTCCAAGATAGGGTTTCTCTATAGCTTTGGGACCTGTCCTGGAACTAGCTCTGGCCTTGAACTCACAGAGATCTACCTGCCTCTGCCTCCCAAGTGCTGGGATTAAAGGTGTGCGCCACCACCGCCTGGCCTCTGTTGTGTTCTTAATCCATCCTCTTCCCTACTCTGTTTCCTGGCCTTTCATTTCATGTAGATGTGTAGAGTGGGGCTAAGTGGAAACATTCCCCAAAATCAGTCCGTTTGAGCTAAAAAAGAAAACAAACCATTATTATTATTTTTAAACTTGAGATAGTGTCTCATATGGCTCAGGCTGGTCTGGAATTCACTACTAATCATGGCT